GCGAGCCGTGGCCCGGACCAGCGCCAACGACAGCTCCAGGCGCCGGCGGACGGCCGACTCGGCGGTGTCGGTGGTGGTGTCGGTGGTGGTGTCGGTGGTGGTGTCGGTGGTTGGCGGTGGTGGTTGTTGTGGTGGTTGTGGTGGTTGTTGTGGTTGTGGTGGTGGTGGTGGTAGGAGCGCGAGCAGGTGGGTGAGGTGGTGGTGGAGGATCATGTGACCTCGCGGAGACCAGCGCAGCACCAGCACTCCACTGCTGTGGATCTGGGGGGGGGGTGGGGGGGGCGGGGGGGGTGGTGGTGGTGTCATTCGTGTGGTGGTGGTGGTGGTGATGGTGGTGGTAGTAGTGGTGGAGGTGGTGGTGGAGGTGGTGATGGTGGTGGTGGTGGTGGCGGTGATGGTGGTGGTGGTGATGGTGGTGGTGGTGATGGTAGTGGTGGTGATGGTGGTGGTGATGGTGATGGTGGTGGTGGTGATGATGGTGGTGACGGTGGTGATGGTGTTGGTGGTGATGGTGTTGGTGGTGGTGGCGGTGGTGGTGGTGGCGGTGGTGGCGGTGGTGGTGGTGGTGATGGTGGTGGTGTCGGTGGTGGTGGTGGTGATGATGGTGGTGGTGGTGATGGTGGTGATGGTGGTGGTGATGGTGGTGATGGTGGTGGTGATGGTGGTGATGGTAGTGGTGATGAAGGTGATGGTGGTGATGGTGGTGATGGTGATCACCTGCACAACCCCAGGTGATGGTGATGAGTGGGATGTGATGGTGATGGTGGTGGTGATGGTGGTGATGGTGGTGGTGATGGTGGTGATGGTAGTGGTGATGAAGGTGATGGTGGTGATGGTGGTGATGGTGATCACCTGCACAACCCCAGGTGATGGTGATGAGTGGGATGTGATGGTGATGGTGGTGGTGGTGATGGTGGTGATGGTGATCACCTGCACAACCCCAGGTGATGGTGATGAGTGGGATGTGATGGTGATGTCTTCAAGGTGACCGTGCAGGTATGGCACGAGGGCCCGCACAACGCCATCACCGCCATCACCGCCATCACCACCATCCTCCTTCTCCTCCACCACCACCTCATTGTTGTGAAAGATAACAAACCAACATCACCAACATCATCACCATCATCACCAACATCACCAACATCATCACCACAAACATCATCATCACCATCACCAACATCACCACCACCATCACCAACATCATCACCACCATCATCACCACCATCATCATCACCAACATCATCACCACCATCACTACCCTACCCACTACACTACCCACTACACTACCCACTACCACTACACTACACTACACACCCCACTACACTACTACACTGCACACTACACTACACTACCCACTACACTACCCACTACACTACACACTACACTACCCACTACACTACACACTACACTACACACTACACACTACACTACCCACTACACTACATTACCCACTACACTACCCACTACACTACACACTACACTACCCACTACACTACACTACCCACCACCCTACCCACTACACTACCCACTACACTACACTACCCACTACACTACACACTACACTACCCACTACACTACACTACCCACTACACTACACTACCTACTACACTACACTACCCACTACACTACACTACCCACTACACTACACTACCCACTACACTACACTACCCACTACACTACCCACTACACTACCCACTATACTACACTACACACTACACTACACTACCCACTACACTACCCACTACACTACACTACCCACTCCACTACACACTACACTACCTACTACACTACACTACCCACTACACTACACTACCCACTACACTACACTACCCACTACACTACCCACTACACTACCCACTACACTACACACTACACTACCTACTACACTACACTACCCACTACACTACACTACCCACTACACTACACTACCCACTACACTACCCACTACACTACACTACCCACTACACTACACTACCCACTACACTACCCACTACACTACCCACTACACTACACTACCCACTACACTACACACTACACTACCCACTACACTACACTACACACTACACTATACACCACACACTACACTACACTACCCACTACACTACACACTACACTATACACCACACACTACACTACACACTACACTACCCACTACACTACCCACTACACTACCCACTACACTACACTACCCACTACCCACTACACTACCCACTACACTACAAACTACACTACACACTACACTACACACTACACCACACACTACACACTACCCACTACACTACCCACTACACTACACACTACACTACTACACTACACTACTACACTACACCACACCCTACACTACACACTACACTACACTACCCACTACACTACCCACTACACTACCCACTACACTACACTACACCACACACTACACTACACACTACACTACTACACTACACTACTACACCACACACTACACTACACACTACACTACACTACCCACTACACTACACCACACACTACACTACACACTACACCACACACTACACTACCCACTACACTACACTACCCACTACACTACCCACTACACTACCCACTACACTACACACTACACTACCCACTACACTACACACTACCCACTACACTACACTACACACTACACTACCCACTACACTACCCACTACACTACACTACACACTACACTACACACTACACTACACACTACACTACCCACTACACTACACACTACACTATACACCACACACTACACCTCACACTACACTACCCACTACACTACACACTACACTACACACTACTCTATACACCACACACTACACCTCACACTACACTACCCACTACACTACACTACCTACTACACTACCCACTACACTACACTACACCCTACACTATACACCACACACTACACTACCCACTACACTACACACTACACTACCCACTACACTACCCACTACACTACACTACCCACTACACTACCCACTACACTACACACTACACTACCCACTACACTACCCACTACACTACCCACTACACTACACTACCCACTACACTACCCACTACACTACACACTACACTATACACCACACACTACACTACCCACTACACTACCCACTACACTACCCACTACACTACACTACACACTACACTACACACTACACTACCCACTACACTACCCACTACACTACCCACTACACTACACTACCCACTACACTACCCACTACACTACCCACTACACTACTCACTACACTACCCTACCCACTACACACTACACTACACACTACACTATACACTACACCACCCTACCCACTACACTACACTACACACTACACTACCCACTACACTACACACTACACTACCCACTACACTACACACTACACTACCCACTACACTACACACTACACTACACTACCCACTACACTACACTACCCACTACACTACCCACTACACCACCCACCTCCTGCTCCTCCTCGGCCACCTCGTCAGGGCCCAGGCCCAGGGCGAGGTCACAGAGGGTCACCCGTGAAGAGGACCGCCCAACGTCTCCAGCGACACGCTCCATGCTCAGCCACACGACACCTGGACACGGGGAGGGAGACACGGGGAGGGAGACACGGGGAGGGAGACACGGGGAGGGAGACACGGGGAGGGAGACACGGGGAGGGAGACACGGGGAGACACGGGGAGGGAGACACGGGGAGGGAGACACGGGGAGGGAGACACGGGGAGGGAGACACGGGGAGACACGGGGAGGGAGACACGGGGAGACACGGGGAGACACGGGGAGGGAGATACGGGGAGGGAGATACGGGGAGACACGGGGAGACACGGGGAGGGAGATACGGGGAGGGAGATACGGGGAGGGAGATACGGGGAGGGAGATACGGGGAGGGAGACACGGGGAGACACGGGGAGGGAGATACGGGGAGGGAGATACGGGGAGGGAGACACGGGGAGACACGGGGAGGGAGACACGGGGAGGGAGACACGGGGAGACACGGGCGGGAAGGGAGATACGGGGAGGGAGACACGGGGAGACACGGGGAGGGAGACGCGGGGAGGGAGACACGGGGAGGGAGACACGGGGAGACACGGGGAGGGAGATACGGGGAGGGAGATACGGGGAGGGAGATACGGGGAGACACGGGGAGACACGGGGAGGGAGACACGGGGAGGGAGACACGGGGAGACATGGGGAGACACGGGAAGGGAGACACAGGGAGACACGGGGAGGGAGACACGGGGAGACACGGGGAGGGAGACACGGGGAGAGAGACACGGGGAGAAAGACACGGGGAGAGAGACACGGGGAGGGAGACACAGGGAGAGAGACACGGGGAGAGAGACACGGGGAGGGAGACACGGGGAGAGAGACACGGGGAGAGAGACACGGGTCAAGGTGAGTGGGTCATGGGTTGGGTGTAGTGGTGGTGTTGGTGGTGGTTTTGGTGGTTGTGGTGGTGGTGGTTGTAGTGGTTGTGGTGGTTGTGGTGGTGGTTATGGTTGTGGTGGTGGTTGTGGTGGTTGTGGTTGTGGTGGTGGTTGTGGTGGTGGTTGTGGTGGTGGTGGTTGTGGTGGTGGTTGTGGTGGTTGTGGTGGTGGTGGTGGTTGTGGTGGTGGTTGTGGTGGTTGTGGTGGTGGTTGTGGTGGTGGTTGTGGTGGTGGTTGTGGTGGTGGTTGTGGTTGTGGTGGTGGTTGTGGTGGTGGTTGTGGTGGTGGTGCTTGTGGTGGTGGTTGTGGTGGTTGTGGTGGTGGTTGTGGTGGTGGTTGTGGTGGTGGTTGTGGTGGTGGTTGTGGTGGTTGTGGTGGTTGTGGTGGTGGTTGTGGTGGTGGTTGTGGTGGTTGTGGTTGTGGTGGTTGTGGTGATTGTGGTGGTGGTTGTGGTTGTGGTGGTTGTGGTGGTTGTGGTGGTGGTTGTGGTGGTTGTGGTGGTGGTTGTGGTGATTGTGGTGGTGGTTGTGGTGGTTGTGGTGGTTGTGGTGGTTGTGGTTGTGGTGGTTGTGGTGGTTGTAGTGGTTGTGGTGGTTGTGGTGGTGGTTGTGATGGTGATTGTGGTGGTGGTTGTGGTGGTGGTGGTGGTTGTGGTTGTGGTGGTTGTGGTGGTGGTGGTGGTGGTTGTGATGGTCACCTGCGTCCCTCGACACTGAGTAAATGTCCACGGGCCCCAGGCTCAAGTCCAGCGACCAGTCGCACCGACCCCCACCTCCTCCTGCTGCTGCTGCCCCTCCTGCTGCCCCTCCTGCTGCTGCCCCTGATGACGCTGCTGCTGCTGCCTCTGATGCTGCCCCTGCTGCTGCTGCTGCCCCTGATGACGCTGCCCCTGCTGCTGCTGCTGCTGCTGCCTCTGATGACACTGCCCCTGATGCTCCTACTGATGCTGCCCCTACTGCTGCTGCTGCCTCTGATGACGCTGCCCCTGCTGCTGCTTCTGCTGCTGCCCCTCCTACTGCTGCTGCTCCTGCTGCTGCCCTCAGGGCCTCCAGGCCCTTGTGGACGCACAGCAGGGAGGCTTCACTCGCCTCAACTTGAAGACCCTCGGCCTAGAGGGGGTGGGCGTGGGGGGTGGTGCACACAGACACACTCATTCACTCTTCATTCACTCACTCTTCATTCACTCTTCATTCACTCACTCATTCACTCTTCATTCACTCTTCATTCACTCACTCACTCTTCATTCACTCACTCTTCATTCACTCACTCTTCATTCACTCACTCATTCACTCTTCATTCACTCTTCATTCACTCACTCTTCATTCACTCACTCATTCACTCTTCATTCACTCTTCATTCACTCTTCATCCACTCACTCACTCACTCACTCTTCATTCACTCTTCATTCACTCACTCATTCACTCTTCATTCACTCTTCATTCACTCTTCATTCACTCACTCTTCATTCACTCTTCATTCACTCACTCATTCACTCTTCATTCACTCACTCACTCTTCATTCACTCACTCTTCATTCACTCACTCATTCACTCTTCATTCACTCTTCATTCACTCTTCATTCACTCACTCATTCACTCTTCATTCATTCACTCTTCATTCACTCTTCATTCACTCTTCATCCACTCACTCACTCTTCATTCACTCACTCTTCATTCACTCACTCATTCACTCTTCATTCACTCTTCATTCACTCTTCATTCACTCTTCATTCACTCACTCATTCACTCTTCATTCACTCACTCATTCACTCTTCATTCACTCATTCATTCACTCTTCATTCACTCACTCACTCTTCATTCACTCACTCTTCATTCACTCACTCATTCACTCTTCATTCACTCTTCATTCACTCACTCACTCTTCATTCATTCACTCATTCACTCACTCTTCATTCACTCATTCATTCACTCTTCAGTCACTCATTCATTCACTCTTCATTCAGTCACTCATTCATTCATTCATTCACTCTTCATTCACTCACTCATTCACTCTTCATTCACTCTTCATTCACTCACTCTTCATTCACTCTTCATTCACTCTTCATTCACTCACTAATTCACTCTTCATTCACTCACTCATTCACTCTTCATTCACTCACTCATTAACTCGTCATTCATTCACTCATTCACTCACTCTTCATTCACTCATTCACTCACTCACTCACTTGTCACTCACTCACTCGTAATTCACTCACTCGTAATTCACTCACTCTTCATTCACTCACTCTTCATTCACTCACTCTTCATTCACTCACTCTTCATTCACTCACTCTTCATTCACTCACTCTTCATTCACTCACTCTTCATTCACTCACTCTTCATTCACTCACTCTTCATTCACTCCTTCATTCACTCACTCTTCATTCACTCCTTCATTCACTCCTTCATTCACTCCTTCATTCACTCCTTCATTCACTCACTCTTCATTCACTCACTCTTCATTCACTCTTCATTCACTCACTCTTCATTCACTCTTTCATTCACTCACTCTTCATTCACTCACTCATTCACTCTTCATTCACTCCTCATTCACTCATTCACTCACTCATTCACTCACTCTTCATTCACTCACTCTTCATTCACTCACTCTTCATTCACGCTTTCATTCACTCTTTCATTCACTCACTCTTCATTCACTCATTCACTCACTCATTCACTCACTCTTCATTCACTCACTCTTCATTCACTCATTCATTCACTCTTCATTCACTCACTCATTCATTCACTCTTCATTTACTCACTCATTCACTCACTCTTCACTCATTCACTCACTCTTCACTCACTCATTCACTCTTCATTCATTCATTCACGCTTCACTCATCCACTCACTCATTCACGTATTCACTCACTCATTCACTCAGCCACTCACTCACACACTCACTCATCCACTCATTCACTCACTCACTGACTGACTCACTCATTCACTCACACTCACTCGCACACACTCACTCATCCACACACTCAATCACTCACTCATTCACTTATTAACTCTCATTCATTCACTCACTCTTTATTCACTCACTCATTCACTCATCCACTCATTCACTCACTCAGTCACGCACTCTCTCATTCATTCACTCACTCAATTATTCACTCACACTCACTCGCACTCACACACTCACACAAATACTCATTCACTCACTCATTCACTCACTCACACATTCACTCACGCACTCACTAATTAACTCACTCACTCACCCACTCACTCATTCACTCACTCACACATTCACTCACGCACTCACTAATTAACTCACTCACTCATCCACTCACTCATTCGCTCACTCACACATTCACTCACGCACTCACTAATTAACTCACTCACTCATCCACTCACTCATTCACTCACTCACACATTCACTCACGCACTCACTAATTAACTCACTCACTCATCCACTCACTCATTCACTCACTCACACATTCACTCACGCACTCACTAATTCAGTCACTCACTCACACGCTCACTAACAACAACAACAACCGCCATTCGCCACCAAGTGGCGGTGACGTCACTACGGCGCTTGTGCCAGGCTAGGTGCATGCTGAGGCTACCACGCGAAGTGTCGAACGCCCGCTGGCGGGAGGTCACGGGGTCAGACTCCCCCAGGTGCCACGGGTTGCACGGCTGTGCCAGGCTAGGTGCATGTGTGGTGGTCACCCTGTAAACACGCACACGCTACACAGTAACTACCACAGCGGGGTCATTCATAACCCTGATGGAGAGCCCGCCCGAGGGGAGGAGGCTGTGAAGTCTGTCTGTGTGTGTGTCTGTGTGTGTCTGTGTGTGTGTGTCTGTGTGTGTGTCTGTCTGTGTGTGTGTCTGTGTGTGTCTGTGTGTCTGTGTGTGTCTGTGTGTGTCTGTCTGTGTGTGTCTGTGTGTGTCTGTGTGTGTGTCTGTCTGTGTGTGTGTCTGTCTGTGTGTGTGTCTGTCTGTGTGTAGGATCCCCCAGAATCCTGATCCTAGACAGAACGTGGGGTCGAACAACCACAGATTGTTGGGCTCCCTGTGACCAGCACCTCCCCCGAGGGGGCGGGGCCTGCGCAAGGGGGGCGGGGTCTGTGCAGGGGGGGCGGGGCCTGCGCAGGCCCCCGCCCCCTCGGTGGGAAATGGTATAAAAGGCGGGCTCCTGAGACCAGGAGCGGGGGAGTTGGTCTCGAGTCGAAGCCGTGGAGTTGGTCTCAAGAGGAGGTCCTGGACCCCCCCAAGCCCCGACGTCCTTGTGAGGACCAGGGGCTCAGTGTGGTACCAGTGATCAGCAGGCTAGGGCCCTGAGGTTCCCTCAGCCCGACGTCCTTCTGAGGACCAGGGGCTCAGTGTGGTACCAGTGATCAGCAGGCTAGGTACCCTGAGGTCCCCTCAGTCCGACGTCCTTCTGAGGGCCAGGGGCTCAGTGTGGTACCAGTGATCAGCAGGCTAGGTACCCTGAGGTCCCCTCAGCCCGACGTCCTTGTGAGGATCGGGGCTCAGTGTGGTACCAGTGATCAGCAGGCTAGGTACCCTGAGGTTCCCTCAGCCCGACGTCCTTGTGAGGACCAGGGGCTCAGTGTGGTACCAGTGATCAGCAGGCTAGGGCCCTGAGGTCCCCTCAGCCCGACGTCCTTCTCAGGGCCAGGTGCTCAGTGTGGTACCAGTGATCAGCAGGCTAGGGTCCTGAGGTCTCCTCAGCCCGACGTCCTTGTGAGGACCAGGGGCACAGTGTGGTACCAGTGATCAGCAGGCTAGGTACCCTGAGGTCCCCTCAGCCCGACGTCCTTGTGAGGACCAGGGGCTCAGTGTGGTACCAGTGATCAGCAGGCTAGGGTCCTGAGGTCCCCTCAGCCCGACGTCCTTGTGAGGACCAGGGGCACAGTGTGGTACCAGTGATCAGCAGGCTAGGGCCCTGAGGTCCCCTCAGCCCGACGTCCTTCTCAGGGCCAGGGGGCTTAGTGTGGTACCAGTGATCAGCAGGCTAGGTACCCTGAGGTCCCCTCAGCCCGACGTCCTTGTGAGGACCAGGGGCTCAGTGTGGTACCAGTGATCAGCAGGCTAGGGCCCTGAGGTCCCCTCAGCCCGACGTCCTTCTCAGGGCCGGGGGCTCAGTGTGGTACCAGTGATCAGCAGGCTAGGTACCCTGAGGTTCCCTCAGCCCGACGTCCTTGTGAGGGCCAGGGGCTAAGTGTGGTACCAGTGATCAGCAGGCTAGGTACCCTGAGGTCCCCTCAGCCCGACATCCTTGTGAGGACCAGGGGCACAGTGTGGTACCAGTGATCAGCAGGCTAGGTACCCTCAAGTTCCCTCAGCCCGACGTCGTTCTGAGGGCCAGGGGCTCAGTGTGGTACCAGTGATCAGCAGGCTAGGTACCCTCAAGTTCCCTCAGCCCGACGTCCTTCTGAGGGCCAGGGGCTCAGTGTGGTATCAGTGATCAGCAGGCTAGGGTCCTGAGGTCCCCTCAGCCCGACGTCCTTCTCAGGACCAGGGGCTCAGTGTGGTATCAGTGATCAGCAGGCTAGGTACCCTCAAGTTCCCTCAGCCCGACGTCCTTCTCAGGGCCAGGGGCTCAGTGTGGTACCAGTGATCAGCAGGCTAGGTACCCTCAAGTTCCCTCAGCCCGACGTCCTTCTCAGGGCCGGGGGGCTCAGTGTGGTACCAGTGATCAGCAGGCTAGGTACCCTGAGGTCCCCTCAGCCCGACGTTCTTGTGAGGACCAGGGGCTCAGTGTGGTACCAGTGATCAGCAGGCTAGGTACCCTGAGGTTCCCTCAGCCCGACGTCCTTCTCAGGGCCCGGGGGCTCAGTGTGGTACCAGTGATCAGCAGGCTAGGTACCCTGAGGTTCCCTCAGCCCGACGTCCTTCTCAGGGCCGGTGGCTCAGTGTGGTACCAGTGATCAGCAGGCTAGGTACCCTGAGGTCCCCTCAGCCCGACGTCCTTCTCAGGGCCAGGGGCTCAGTGTGGTACCAGTGATCAGCAGGCTAGGTACCCTGAGGTCCCCTCAGCCCGACGTCCTTCTGAGGACCAGGGGCTCAGTGTGGTACCAGTGATCAGCAGGCTAGGGTCCTGAGGTCTCCTCAGCCCGACGTCCTTCTCAGGGCCCGGGGCTCAGTGTGGTACCAGTGATCAGCAGGCTAGGGTCCTAAAGTTCCCTCAGCCTGACGTCCTTCTCAGGACCAGGGGGCTCAGTGTGGTACCAGTGATCAGCAGGCTAGGTACCCTGAGGTTCCCTCAGCCCGACGTCCTTGTGAGGACCAGGGGCTCAGTGTGATACCAGTGATCAGCAGGCTAGGTACCCTGAGGTTCCCTCAGCCCGACGTCCTTCTCAGGGCCAGGGGCTCAGTTGTGGTACCAGTGATCAGCAGGCTAGGTACCCTGAGGTCCCCTCAGCCCGACGTCCTTCTCAGGGCCAGGGGCTCAGTGCGGTACCAGTGATCAGCAGGCTAGGTACCCTGAGGTCCCCTCAGCCCGACGTCCTTCTCAGGGTCGGGTCTGGACGGGCCAGTGGTGGAAGACCCACCGGTGCCAGCGGTGGATCAGCCTCCCCTAGGTCCGGCTAGCCGGAGGGCTAGAGTAGTAGTCGAACCCAAAGCTAGAGTAAGCTAGGCCGGAGGCTGTACCACCCTAGGTTGTGGGTAGAAGGGGCCGTTACCACCTTCGTGTTAACGACCTAGGGAATCGTTGTTAAGGACGTCAATGAAAAGTTTAATTCCTTCTACGACTCCGTCTCCATCTACGACTACTACACACGTGTACGCACACACACACACACACGTGTGTACATGTGTACACAGACACACACGTGTACATGTGTACACAGACACACACACAGACAGACACACAGACACGCACACAGACACACACAGAGACACACACACAGAGACAGACACACACACAGACACACACACAGACACACAGAAACACACACACACAGACATACACACACAGACACACACACACAGACACACACATACAGACACACACACAGACACACACACAGACACACAGAAACACACACACAGACACACAACAACAACAACAACCGCCTTTCGCCACTAAGTGGCGGTGACGTCACCACGATGCTTGTGCCAGTCTATGTGCACCTTGAGGCCACGTGAAGTGTCGAACGCCCGCGGGCAGGAGGTCACGGGGCAGACCCAGGTGCCACGGGTCGACTGACTGAGATGACTGGCTGATGCACCACCTGTGCCCCCTACTGTGCCAACCTGCTGTGCTTTAGCAGGCTAGGTACCCTGAGGTCCCCTCAGCCCGACGTCCTTCTCAGGGCCAGGGGCTCAGTGTGGTACCAGTGATCAGCAGGCTAGGTACCCTGAGGTTCCCTCAGCCCGACGTCCTTCTCAGGGCCAAGGGCTCAGTGTGGTACCAGTGATCAACAGGCGAGGGTCCTGAGGTCCCCTCAGCCCGACGTCATTCTCAGGGCCAGGGGCTCAGTGTGGTACCAGTGATCAGCAGGCTAGGTACCCTGAGGTCCCCTCAGCCCGACGTCCTTCTGAGGACCAGGGGCACAGTGTGGTACCAGTGATCAGCAGGCTAGGTACCCTGAGGTCTCCTCAGCCCGACGTCCTTCTCAGGGCCAGGGGCTCAGTGTGGTACCAGTGATCAGCAGGCTAGGGTCCTGAAGTTCCCTCAGCCCGACGTCCTTCTGAGGACCAGGGGCTCAGTGTGGTACCAGTGATCAGCAGGCTAGGTACCCTGAGGTCCCCTCAGCCCGACGTTCTTGTGAGGACCAGGGGCTCAGTGTGGTACCAGTGATCAGCAGGCTAGGTACCCTGAGGTTCCCTCAGCCCGACGTCCTTCTCAGGGCCAGGGGGCTCAGTGTGGTACCAGTGATCAGCAGGCTAGGTACCCTGAGGTCTCCTCAGCCCGACGTTCTTCTCAGGGCCCGGGGCTCAGTGTGGTACCAGTGATCAGCAGGCTAGGTACCCTGAGGTCCCCTCAGCCCGACGTCCTTGTGAGGACCAGGGGCTCAGTGTGGTACCAGTGATCAGCAGGCTAGGTACCTTGAGGTCCCCTCAGCCCGACGTCCTTCTCAGGACCCGGGGCTCAGTGTGGTACCAGTGATCAGCAGGCTAGGGCCCTGAAGTTCCCCTCAGCCCGACGTCCTTCTGAGGACCAGGGGCACAGTGTGGTACCAGTGATCAGCAGGCTAGGTACCCTGAGGTCTCCTCAGCCCGACATCCTTCTGAGGGCCAGGGGGCTCAGTGTGGTACCAGTGATCAGCAGGCTAGGTACCCTGAGGTCCCCTCAGCCCGACGTCCTTCTCAGGACCCGGGGCTCAGTGTGGTACCAGTGATCAGCAGACTAGGTACCCTCAAGTTCCCTCAGCCCGACGTCCTTGTGAGGGCCAGGGGGCTCAGTGTGGTACCAGTGATCAGCAGGCTAGGTACCCTGAGGTCCCCTCAGCCCGACGTCCTTCTCAGGACCCGGGGCTCAGTGTGGTACCAGTGATCAGCAGACTAGGTACCCTCAAGTTCCCTCAGCCCGACGTCCTTGTGAGGGCCAGGGGGCTCAGTGTGGTACCAGTGATCAGCAGGCTAGGTACCCTGAGGTCCCCTCAGCCCGACGTCCTTGTGAGGGCCAGGGGGCTCAGTGCGGTACCAGTGATCAGCAGGCTAAGTACCCTGAGGTCTCCTCAGCCCGACGTCCTTCTCAGGGCCAGGGGGCTCAGTGTGGTACCAGTGATCAGCAGACTAGGTACCCTGAGGTTCCCTCAGCCCGACGTCCTTCTGAGGACCAGGGGCACGGTGTGGTACCAGTGATCAGCAGGCTAGGTACCCTGAGGTCTCCTCAGCCCGACGTCCTTCTGAGGGCCAGGGGGCTCAGTGTGGTACCAGTGATCAGCAGGCTAGGGTCCTGAGGTCCCCTCAGCCCGACATCCTTCTCAGGACCAGGGGCTCAGTGTGGTACCAGTGATCAGCAGGCTAGGGTCCTGAGGTCCCCTCAGCCCGACGTCCTTCTGAGGACCAGGGGCTCAGTGTGGTACCAGTGATCAGCAGGCTAGGTACCCTGAGGTCCCCTCAGCCCGACGTCCTTCTGAGGGCCCGGGGGCTCAGTGTGGTACCAGTGATCAGCAGGCTAGGGCCCTGAGGTTCCCTCAACCCGACGTCCTTCTCAGGGTCGGGTCTGGACAGGCCAGTGGTGGAAGACCCACCGGTGCCAGCGGTGGGTCAGCCTCCCCTAGGTCCGGCTAGCCGGAGGGCTAGAGTAGTAGTCGGACCCAAAGCTAGAGTAAGCTAGGCCGGAGGCTGTACCACCCTAGGTTGTGGGCAGAAGGGGCCGTTACCACCTTCGTGTTAACGACCTAGGGAATCGTTGTTAAGGACGTCAATGAAAAGTTTAATTCCTTCTACGACTCCGTCTCCATCTACGACTACTACACACGTGTACGCACACACACACACACACACGTGTGTACATGTGTACACAGACACACGTGTACATGTGTACACAGACACACACACAGACAGACACACACACAGACAGACAGACACACACACACAGACAGACAGACACACACACACAGACACACAGACACACAGAAACACACACACACAGACAAAGAGACCCACACACACACAGCTATATTCTAATTACCTTCAAGTCCACAGCCAGACTCTGGGACTGAATTAGGCCAGATGTGGATAGAGACTCTAACAGCACAACCTGCAACATCAACAACATCACCATCAACAACATCACCATCAACAACATCATCATTATCATCAACAACATCAGCAACATCATCAGCATCACCAACATCAACATCACCTTTCGATTTAAAGCTTTCGTGACTGCAAGGATTCATCTTTTTTGGTTCTTTCGGTAAGTCACCACCACCACGTAGAGTGAGAATAAAATAATAAATTGATAAAATAAAATAACACAATAAAATTCTCACGACGTTTCGGCCACAACACAAGCGGCCTTCATCAGGTGAAGGGACGAGACTGTCTTACTGTCTGACTGTCTGACAGTCTCGTCCCTTCACCTGATGAAGGCCGCTTGTGTTGTGGCCGAAACGTCGCGAGAATATTATTGTGTTATTTTATTTTATCAATTTATTATTTTATTCTCATTCTACGTGGTGGTGACTTTACCGAAAGAACTAAAGAAGATCAACATCACCATCAACACCAACAAGACCATCACAAACATCATCATCATCATCACCAACAACGTGGAATGAGTGAGCCGGCAAGTGAGTGAGTGAGTGTGTGAGTGAGCGAGTGAGCGAGTGAGTGTGTGAGTGGGTGAGTGGGTGAGTGAGTGAGTGTGTGAGTGAGCGAGAGAGTGAGTCTATGAGTGAGTGTGTGTTAGTAAGTGTGTTAGTGTGTTAGTTAGTGTGTGAGTGTTGGTGAGTGTGTTAGTGAGTGTGTTAGTGTGTTAGTGAGTGTGTTAGTGTGTTAGTTAGTGTGTGAGTGTGTTAGTTAGTGTGTGAGTGTTGGTGAGTGTGTTAGTGAGTGTGTTAGTGTGTTAGTTAGTGTGTGAGTGTGTTAGTTAGTGTGTGAGTGTTGGTGAGTGTGTTAGTGAGTGTGTTAGTGTGTTAGTTACTGTGTTAGTAAGTGTGTTAGTGTGTTAGTGAGTGTGTTAGTGAGTGTGTTAGTGAGTGTGTTAGTGAGTGTGTTAGTGTGTTAGTGAGTGTGTTAGTGTGTTAGTGAGTGTGTTAGTAAGTGTGTGAGTGTGTTAGTGTGTTAGTGAGTGTGTTAGTGAGTGTGTTAGTAAGTGTGTTAGTGTGTTAGTGAGTGTGTTAGTGTGTTAGTGTTGGTGAGTGAGTGGCTCACCTTGGCCTGCTCCAGTGAGAGCGCCCTCCCCCATTCGTGCGGCCGGGCCCCCCCCCCCAGAGCCCCTCCCCCCGGGCCCCCGCCAGGCCCCTCCCCCAGGGCCCAGCAGGCGCCATGCAGCACCACAGCCACCTGGCGATGTCCCTGCAGCTGGGCCCCGTCTACACACACAGTGACAGTGTACACACACAGTGTACACACACAGTGTATACACAGTGTACACACACACACAGTGTATACACACAGTGTACACACACACACAGTGTACACACACACACAGTGTATACACAGTGTACACACACAGTCACACACACAGTGTACACACACAGTCACACACAGTGTACACACAGTGTACACACACAGTGAGACAGTGTACACACACAGTCACACACAGTGTACACACACAGTGTACACACACAGTGTACACACACAGTCACACACAGTGTACACACACAGTGTACACACACAGTGAGACAGTGTACACACACACCGTTACACACACACAGTTACACACAGTGTACACACACAGTGTACACACACAGTGTACACACACAGTACACACAGTGTACACACACAGTGTACACACACAGTGTACACACACAGTTACACACACAGTGTACACACACAGTTACACACACAGTGTACACACACACAGTTACACACACAGCGTACACACACACAGTCACACAAACACAGTCACACACACAGTCACACAGTCACACACACACACAGTCACACACACACACAGTCACACACACACACAGTCACACACACACACACACAGTCACACACAGTGTACACACACAGTGTACACACAGTTACACACACACAGTGTACACACACAGTGTACACACACAGTTACACACACAGTGTACACACACACACAGTGTACACACAGTCACACACACAGTGTACACACACAGTGAGACAGTGTACACACAGTGTACACACACAGTGTACACACACACACACAGTGTACACACAGTGTACACACACAGTGTACACACACACACACAGTGTACACACACAGTGTACACACACAGTGTACACACACACACAGTGTACACACAGTGTACACAGTGACAGTGTACACACAGTGTACACACACACACAGTGTACACACACACACAGTGTACACACACACAGTGTACACACACAGTTACACATACACAGTGTACACACACAGTGACAGTGTACACACAGTCACACACACAGTCACAGTGTACACACAGTGACAGTGTACACACAGTGTACACACAGTTACACAGTTACACACACACACACACAGTGAACACACAGTGACAGTGTACACACACAGTGACAGTGTACACACACACCGTTACACACACACAGTTACACACAGTGTACACACACAGTGTACACACACAGTGTACACACACAGTCACACAGTGTACACACACAGTTACACACACACAGTGTACACACACAGTGTACACACACACACAGTGTACACACACAGTGAGACAGTGTACACACACACAGTGTACACACAGTGTACACAGTGACAGTGTACACACAGTGTACACACACACACAGTGTACACACACACAGTGTACACACAGTGTACACACACAGTTACACATAAACAGTGTACACACACAGTCACAGTGTACACACACAGTGTACACACAGTCACACACACAGTCACACACACAGTCACAGTGTACACACAGTGACAGTGTACACACAGTGTACACACAGTTACACAGTTACACACACACACACAGTGAACACACAGTGACAGTGTACACACACAGTGACAGTGTACACACACACCGTTACACACACACAGTTACACACAGTGTACACACACAGTGTACACACACAGTGTACACACAGTCACACACACAGTCACACACACAGTCACAGTGTACACACAGTGACAGTGTACACACAGTGTACACACAGTTACACAGTTACACACACACACACACAGTGAACACACAGTGACAGTGTACACACACAGTGACAGTGTACACACACACCGTTACACACACACAGTTACACACAGTGTACACACACAGTGTACACACACAGTGTACACACACAGTCACACAGTGTACACACACAGTGTACACACACAGTTACACACACACAGTGTACACACACAGTTACACACAGTTACACACAGTGTACACACAGTCACAGTGTACACACACAGTGTACACACACAGTGTACACACACAGTGTACACACAGTCACAGTGTACACACACACACAGTGTACAGTGTACACACACACAGTGTACACACACAGTGTATACA